TGTTTTATATATCGTTATGTTATACAGGAAAATATACATATATGTTAAGAAATGGACATGGTCCGACAATTTATTTATTAAAGACATATTTTTATGTTTAACGTTGTTATTTTATAGATACAAGTATTTAAGCAAATGCTCTGTTTATGATAAACAGTATTAAATAACATTTACCGGCCTGAATGCCGAGAAATTTTCATAGAAAATTTTCGTTCTTTGACAGGATTTGCATCCTATACGGAACCGTCATATACGCTGACGTGCCTTACCGCTTGAGCTACAAAAAGAACCAATAAAGACAAGGTATTGTGCTTATAAACTCCAATTTTCCATGAATCTCGTACATTTCATAACTGCTCTGGCGTATCGAATGTAAACAAATGACGTCATATATTAAGAAATGGACAAGGTCCGACAATTTATTTATTAAAGACATATTTGCTTAAATACTTGTATCTATAAAATAACAACGTTAAACATAAAAATATGTCTTTAATAAATAAATGAAGCTGAATTCACAAATTTTAGCTTTCGAAACTATAATGTATCAACAAGACGGTTTGCCTAAGCAACATTTATATCTTCAAAAGACAGTTTTCAAAGAGAAAATTACCAAAGTTGGAGTTTATAAGCAGTAAATTCGACCCTGTTGGTTCTTTGTAGCTCAAGTAAGGCACGTCAGCGTATATGACGGTTCCGTATAGGATGCAGGTTCGAAATTGTTAAAGAACGAAAATTTTCTATGAAAATTTCTCGGACATTCAGGCCGGTAAATGTTATTTAATACTGTTTATCATAAACAGAGCATTTGCTTAAATACTTGTATCTATAAAATAACAACGTTAAACATAAAAGTATGTCTTTAATAAATACATATATGTATTTATCTATCACTATTTGCTCCACATACAACAAGCAGTGTAGGCAGGCGGAAATTAAGTGCATCTTGTAATATTTCCCAAATGGTAAACATTCGGCCAGTGGTGTCTTTTTTATGGAACCATGTGGTTTCCTCTCTTTTATTAACGGCGATATCACATTGAAATAACGTTCATCGTATGATCACCGAAGTCAAACAACATCGAGCCTAGCCAGTATCGAGATAGGCGACTGCTTAGAAATACTGTAAACTTTGATTTGCGGTTGTTGCAATCAATAATCGAAGAGAATTGGAAATTGGAGAGAGCCAAGTTCCAATTCTAGTCGGTTCCATTATGTTAACTTACGTGCAAATGCCCCAGGAAAATTTGTGAATTCAGCTTCACCGCAGTTATGGGTTAATTGGTAATTAGTTTTTTATTATATGCAAATTATTATTACAACGTGATGATATTTTCTGGCTTTAAATAACCAGAAAGGGTTGATAAGCCGTAAAAATCAAGTCAATCAATCTTAAATGCATTGTGTGTGATTTTTTTTTCGTTTTATATAGCAACTGGAGTTTCATCACTCCCACAAACTTATATCTCTCATCGGCTACACCTTGATCGTCGTGAAATCATCTTTAGCTAAACCAGAGGGTCATCCTCTGTAACTCTGCTACAATGTTTCCACAATGATAAAATAATAAAGAAAAAATAATGCAAGTATCCTACAAATTAGCACCTTGCAAGAAAAAAGAATACTATATGCACCTACAGTGAGAAAAAAAAACACTTAGATTTTTAGAAGGGGACTAACGTCTTTGACCGAAATCTGAAATATATATATTTTTATTCTCCCCAAGTGGAGTAAATAAGTTCGCCTATCGTCTGTTTCACACGACTCTCCAGTCTTTTAAACAGATGTAGAAGTTTATCATTTGTTTTCTTTTGAGGATTATGTTCCCGGTTGCTGCTAAAGTCTACTTCAACTCTATACTTCGAACGTCTCCGCCTGAAGTCTGAAACTTTATTCACTAATTATTTTGTTTCTGTTTGCGATTGGGTGTCCGGCTCATTCTAAAGTCTGCTTCAATTCTATACTTCGAACGTTTACGTCTAAATTCCTAAACTTTATTCACTAATTATTCTGTCTTGCTTGCGATTCGATTTCTGGTTCCTTCGCCTACAGTCTTCCCATTCCCTTTCCCTTCCAGAAAATCTTGCGTCTTAGAGGCATTATCGCCTTGTTTAGGGAGAAATGATTAAAACCATACACACAATAAAAAAACAACTTTGACGTTACTTACATGCTCCGAGGAAGTCTGATATGATGGATAAGAGATGGGTTTATATCGCAGACGCTGTTAGGCACAATAGCAGATGAGCAACAACAGCAACAACAACAACAATAATAATAATAATAATAATAATAAGAAGATTCATCGTCTGTGTGCTGTATCCATTCAGAACGTGCGCGAACATGGCGCTCTACAACTTCCTAGCCCCTGTCTCTATTAGCCTTATTGATCTTTGTTTTGTGCCACTCCGACCCTGTTTTGCTATTTACATAAGAAATTACACTATGCTTCTCTCTATCACTGTTTCTTTCAATAATTTATATATTTTCTTCGTTTAAGTCAAAAATGCTTTTTCAGACTTTCTGAAATTTTAATCGAATAATTACTGTGCTAGTTATATTCAACTTAAAATATTTATCATTAAGCAAACGGCACTTTCATTTGAAAAAAAGGTTCTTGTGTTGATGAAAGGAGATGGCTCCATAATTTTGTAGGTTTTCTTCATTTTCTTTTATTTTCTCCCAGTAGGAGTATATATAGTCGCCTATCGCCCAGTTTACACGCCTCCCCGGTCTTTGGAACAGAATTAGAGGTTTATCATTTGTTTGCTGTTTAGGATTGGATTTCCAATTTCTTATAAATTCTATTTTTACTCTAAACTTCGAACGTCTCTGACTGAGCTCTGAAGTGTTATTCGCCAATTACATCTTGACGTTATCATTCCTGCATGACCCCAAGAACTTCACTTCTTGCCCTTTCTATATGATCATACAATACGACAGATTAAGCCTCTATGTTAGGTGGCTCTTCGCCCTTTTACTGATCATTATATATATATATATATATATATATATATATATATATATATATATATATATATATATATATATTATAAATAAACCTTCGGTGTCTTGATTTGGAATTACTGAAACTAATATCGAAGGGGAAAAAAGGTATAAAAAAAAAAGAAAGAATCAAGGTCATCTACGTTTAAAAAAATAATCGTCTAGCATGCAAGTCCAAAGCCCAAAGAAAAAAAAAAAAGACCCGATACGAGTACGTAAAAAAAACAAAACAAAATAAAGTGCTCCAGTTAACTAGTTAACTTATATATATATATATATATATATATATATATATATATATATATATATATATATATATATATATTATATATCACCTGTGTCTCCTTTGCTGGATTAATGGATAACTGCTCGGATTGAGGAACCAATCAAGTTTGAATTTGAATTACAGCCGGATCCATCCCATTCACGTGCTAATGCCCTTAGAAAAGGTACAATGAATCATCCACTTCTAAATAGCAGGACAGATTGGGTTTTAAATGCTTGGTTGTCAACCGTTTTAAGAGACGGAAACTGAATTCAAAATCAGCCTGGAGAGGGTTGGGTTCCCCAAGAAACACTAATTCTTCTGCGGCTGCAGTACATTGGTGCCCATACAACCCTGGTGGTTCACGGGATTCGTGAAATATATATATATATATATATATATATATATATATATATGTGTGTGTGTGTGTGTGTGTGCGTGTGTGTGTGTGAACGTAGATTTCTCTTGTCTTTAAATACTCTCATTGTATTTGTTCTGATGAATTTTCCTTAATGGTACCTAGACTTTAGGAATGTTAGAAGATTACTGGATTGGCAGTAAAGTATCATCTTTTTATAGTCAATAGGGCTAGATATAACCGTAAATTCTATGCTAATGGTTTCTTCTCTTACAGTTCTCGTTCGTGGAACTCTCTTACGGCTTCTTACTTCCCAACTTTGATCTTCAACAATTTAAATGGTATCTTCTGTTTTATCCAATTTAACAATTTTCGGTTATCTTCTGTTTTCTCCATAATAAATACTTTTCTTTTATTTTCTAACATTCAGTAATCCTTTATGCCTTAGTGGCTTTGTTACCTTGCTTGTCTTGAAATGATTAAAAATAAAATAAGGAAGAAAATGATATGATTTTATATACCAGAAAAATTTTAGGAAACTTACTAACAAAGTGAGAAATTTTTTTGACATCTGACTTATTTATTTGTTCAGAACTTCATCGAACTAAAGTGACATTTACGTTTATGTAACTGTACATGGGGAGGCTGAGAAGGAACGCTGTAATATTAAAATTTTTAATTGTTTTTTTTTTATATTTGGGTATACAGTCTAGCCAATTTCACTTAATTTCCTTTTCTTTTTACTTATATTTTTATCACTTTTTTCATTACGCATCCCACCTTGCGATAATCGAAGACCAGTTAAGAAATGGAAAATGTTGTTAGAATCTTAAAGCAAATTTACTGTGAATGATCTAATGATTGAAACACTTTATATATACACTTTTGTTTTAGTAAATCGTGCTCACTGTTAATTGAATTATCATTTTTTTTTAAATTGAAATTAGAGCCAGACTCGTGTGTTGTCATGTAAAAGATCCCTTGCATGATTTTTTTAGAATATAATCAAACATTTTTGTTACTCATATGTTCTTATTTATTTTCTTAACTTTGAATAAAATGGCTGCCAAAAATGGCAAGTTTAATATACAAAAAATAACATAAGATAATTATTTTTTTCAATAACGTCTATTTACTGATATTTGCCAGGTTTAAATTGGATAAGAAAAAGATAAATAAGGAACTTGAAATTTCAATGTCAAAAGAATATTTTTATTAAAAATGGTATCAACTTTTTCCTATTCTTCTTCGTCTCATGTTCCTTCAGGTCACTGGGGATCATGGCTCTCCACAATTTTCTATTCATTCAAGCTCTTAGTAAATTTGATATTATTCTTATATCTCCTAAACTCTTTTCTGTCATCCATTTGCATAAGCTAACTAGTTAGGTAATGCGCTTTTTTTCTCAGTCCCGTTTGTCTTCAATATGTCATGTGCGCATTAAAATGTCCAAACATTCTTTCCTCGTTATGTGCCATACAAATTTCAACTCTCTTTGTGATGCTAAGTATAAGTGTCATTTTTGTTTCGATTTTCTTTAAGGCGTTATCATTGCCCATCTGTTCAGTCCATAGTATTCTTAGCATCCTTCTGTAGACTCACATTTCGTTTACCTCAAGTCCGTGAGACTGTCCAGTATTCACTAACATATTAAGTAAACATTCAGTACGCTTTTCTTTGTTTCTTATGAATGTTTGCTGTTTCTTAATACTTTACTTAGCTTTTGGAAGGCGACTTTCCTTGTCCCAATGCTTCTTCAGATATCAGTGTCGCACTTGTCTTCCTCAGTTTAAAAGCTTTCTGGAATTTTTAAATTGTTGTAATTGTTTTATTTTGACATCTCCAATTCGTAATTTAGTTGGTCTCTTCCTTTCGCTGACAAACATGCATCCTGTCTTCTTGCAATTTAGTCCTTTCTTAAGTAAGTATTATGTAAATGCTATGTTTTTAATTAAACGGTATTAAATTTCATTTACCGGCCTAAATTTTCAAGAAACGTCGTAGAAAATATGCGTTCTCCGACAGGAATAGAACCTGTATTCCTTATACGAAAACCGTCATTAAGCCTGACTTGCTGTACCATTCAGCTACTGAAAACCGTATCGTTAGCAAAGTCTAAATTACTGTTTAGAAACACACAATCTTCGACAATTTTTATCGATCGATCATATCTACTCACGAAACCTATGTTAACTTAAACATGACAATATATATAAATGGTTTAAGTCCCACAATTATTTAATATATTTTCTGTTTGTACGTTACTTTTATAGATACAATGATCAAATGACGGTTTCCGTATAAGAATACAGGTTCGATTCCTGTCGGAAAACACATATTTTCTACGAAAATTATCGAAAATTCAGAGTAAATTAAAAACAGAGCATTTACTTAAATTGTTTTGTCTACTTCTTTATAATAGGATCTCCTAATTACGAACATTAAGTTTCTTTAAAGGAAGTTTTTTAGTATTAAAGGAAGAAAGAATTTTCCATGTTAATGTATATTCATTTTATTACAAGTAGTTCGACATTAGCAAAATGTTGTCATCAGGGTCTTTTTTTTTTTTTTTTTTTTTTCTGAGACGAAGACTTTTTGTGTTTATCATTTTTCTAAGACAAAATTATGGTGTTTTTCTGTAGGAATTCTTGTAGGTCGTTTTCTTCATGTGCTTTCAACACTGTGTTATCTGAATATCTTAAGTTATTGTGGTTGCCAATAATGAATCCTCGTAGGACTACTATTTCTCTCAGAATCACCTCCCAGTAAATGCACATGGATGGACGCATGGATGGAGTAATGAATAGAGGCTCGGATTGAGGAATCGGAGAGCCGAGTTCGAATTCCAGTCGAATCAATTAGATTCACTTACGTGCTAATAACCTAGGGAAAGGTATGAATCCTCTTCTCCTCCCCCAGCTATGGGAAAATAGCAGGACAGACTGTGTTCTATAGCCTTGGATGGTAAATATTCATACGCAGAAAAAACAGCAACCTACTGTGGGAAAATATCTGCATCATCAGTCATGTATCGAAAGATACATGATCACCTAAGCTTGTATCACGCATGGCACATAACTGACTGAAATGCACATGACTGCTAAAATCATGAAGCAAAGTGAGAGAAATTGAGACATAGCTAGAGAAAAAAATGTTTCTAGTGTCCACTATTTTTCTATTTCTATCAAAATATCCTTTAAAAGTGACATGAATAAATAAAGAACAAAAAGAAATGGATTTCGATATAAAGACCCCCTTTTTATGTTTGCCATGATCAAATTTTAAAAAAGACCCCCACCCGCAAAAAAAAGAAATATTAAAAAAAGAAACAAGAGAATGAAACAATTTAAAATTTCATGTATTCAAATTTTTTTTTTTTCAATTTTTAATTTCTCTCGTTCATTCTGCAGGCATTCCTGCCAGTCAAATTCTTGAATTATTTGGTGAGAAATTCTTCGACTTTTGCCAAGAATCCGGTTACGACAAAATCCTGCAAGTGCTTGGAGGAACAACCAAGGATTTCCTCCAAAACCTTGATGCCCTCCACGACCATCTGGCCACCATTTACCCAGGTATGCGAGCGCCATCTTTCCGATGTTCTGAGAGAGAAGAAGATGGCGCGACTATTCTTCACTATTATTCCGATCGTCCTGGGCTGGAATATATCGTCATTGGCATTGTAAAAGCGGTGGCACGCCAAGTACACAATTCAGAGGTAAACGCAATTGGTCATTCCTTCTGTTTTATTACCCGGAGAGAAGTCAAAACAAGAGTTTAGAAAAGTGGATAAATCTGTAATTATCTGTGGATGATGTCATCAAACTCGGAGTATTTTCTTTTTCAAATATAGATATTTAAATACTGCAAGATTATAATTAATTTTGACATTTACATTATTTGGACTATTGTACAAATCTTTGTTGCCATATGTATCACAACGTTTCGGCCGTTGTACGCTCCAGCCCTCTTCAGGTGGTTGGAATGTCGAACATAGCGCTTTATTTCGCTCGCTTGGGTAGACTGTTCTAGTACCACGTGACATGTCTAATGGATGTCACTTATCAGTTATCTCCTGTTAATTCCCCTCACCAAGTACTCCACCGCCTTAAAAAGGTATAGATCTCACTCTCTTTGTGTCCTGTCACTGGATCTAGCTACCGCCTTGATCCACTGTGCCATGTGTCCTTGAGGACATGGCACGTGGAACTAGAACAGTCTACCCCAACGAGCGAAATAAAGGAGGATATACTGTAAAACAGAAAACACCAAGTGAAAGAGATGCGTTTTCGAATAACCAAGACGTTAATATGCTATAAGGATTTTGAAATGTAAATGTTACAGAAAGCTAATTTAGAATACGAAATACAATCTTTTTGTCAGTGTACAAAGGATATCAGATTACCAATAGAAAATTTCTGGAACAATAATAATTTGGAACTTTTAAAAAAAGAAATGGATTTTGACACTACAGGATTGAAGTTAAAATTAAGGATTTTCAATCTAGAATTTATTTTTAAACAAGAATCTCTGTAGTTTACAAAAAATGGCAGAATAATTAATAGCAAGGTGATAAACAATAGCATCTTGTTGTGAACCGGAGCTTACAACGGCCAAAAAGTTGTGATAAATATGGCAACAAAGATGAGGACAATATTTCGAATAATGTAAATAGTGTACATAATACCTCATCTCAGAAATATAGATAGATACTGAAAGAATTTTTTGTTTTTGTTTCCAGTCCAAAACACAAATTAAAAAAAAAAAACTTTTTGGTTTATTAATATTTTTATCATCTGCAATTTTAGGTTTCTTTGAATAGTAGAGATAACATTTTGCTTGCAGTCATTTTTAGTTCTTTCAGGAAGCCATAATAACTAACCATGTATATTTTTATTACGCTTCACCTATTGTAATCGTTGCTGTGATTACCATTCTTATCACCGTTACACATGAATATCTTACGGATTTTAATATCTTTTGAAGATTTTTCTCCCTATTTTCATTCTGTCATCACAGTTTACTCACAGAGTAACATTTCAGAGATTAATTTAATCGTCTATGCTGAAAAAAGGTTCTACAGAGATTTTATAGCTATTGAAAAAAATAAGAACATTTTCTTTGTCTCAGTTTAAAGTGATTTAATCCTGACATAAACGACAAACAAACATTTTTTAAATATAGTTCAATTGCATTTTTGAGATGAGGTATTGTAATTATTTACATTATTTACGTTTTTAGGACTGTTGCCATCATCTTTATCACCATATTCACAACGTGGCCCAGTGGAAAAAAAACAAAAACAAAAAAAAACGTTGGTTTGATCCGGTGAATTGACCCAAAGAGATGTGAGTTCAATATGTGGCTACTGTAGTGGCGAACAAAAACTGGACGAGTTAAGTTAAAGGGAGATGACTGAGAAGACCAGAACTAGACTATATAAAGTGTTCAGTTCGAAATTCTAATCACTTGAAGAAGGCTGGAGCATAAAAAGGCCGAAAAGTTGTGAATATTGCAATACAGATGAGGTCAACTGTTCGAACAACGTAGACAATTTAAATAGTTCAAATGTACTTTGAATAATTAATCTAAGCTTAAACAAGACATTTACAGAAACTTTACAGTCTATAAAAATAAAAACATTTAATTTTGATCACTTTAAATGAATTAATCTTGTCATTAATGACGGACAGAAACGGAAACCAGATTTAGATATAGTTCAACTGTATTTCTGAAAAGAGGTATTGTAATTGTTTACATTATTTTTATTGTTCGGATTATTGTCGTTAGATTTCTTTCAATATTCACGACAAGGGCACATAACCCAGTGGATAAAAGCGTTGGTTGGGTCCAGTGACTTGACCTAAATAGTTGTAAGTTCAAAACCTGGCTATTACAGTGGTGAACAAAAACTGGGAGGGTTAAATACAAGGCGATAACTGAGCTGCCCAGGAGTAGAACAATCTACCTCGATAGACGAAATAAAGAGTTTAGTTCGACATTCCAATCAAGTGAAGAAGGCCGGAGCGTACAACGGCCGAAAAGTCGTGATTATTGCAATACGGATTAGGGCGACAGTCCGAACATCGTAAACAATTTAAATAGTTCAACACTAATTTGAAAAAATTACCTGAGCTTAGACAACATTTTTTACAGACATTTAACAGCCCATAAAAATAAAAAAAAGCATTTACTTTTGCTCATTTTAAATGATTTAACGTTGTCCTAAATGACGGACAGGTGCATAAGAATTTTGAGATAGAGTCAACTTTACTTTGAATTATTACTCTATACAGCTAAGCTTAAATAACATTTTTACAGTTATTTTACACATTGTAAAAAAAAAATGTGGACATTTCCATTGGCTCAGTTTACGTGATATACTCCTGTTGTTAATGTTGTAATTATTTTGAAAGACTTTTTTTTTATATCCATGATAAATTCATAATCATTCTTCAAACTTACAAAAGCTTGTTTAATTGGATTGTGGAAATAAAAGGAGAACTTGAAATATTTTTTTCTCTAATATTCAAATAGGAGAAAGCCTTAAAAAATGAATACATCTAACCATTTACAATAAATCTGATCCATTCGATCAAGTGAAACTGGAAACTGATGCATTAAACGACTATCAATTTAATGTTAACTGGGACAATGGATGGCTTGTTAATTTTAGAGCATCCAATAGTAAACTGCTTTCTATTAATCATTTGCGAGACAGTTTCTGCCTTCCATCAGCTTGGTGGATGCTAGCCTCCAGGAAAGTAATTTGTTGCGCCTACTCGGACTATTATTCTTGGCTGATTTAAAGTAGAAATACTATATTGAATCTATTGCTAGGCCAGCTGCTATTACATTTGATTCACTGTCTCGTGCTAGACAATATTTTTTCTCCAGAATCGATCTTACATATCTATAAGTCTAACATTCGCCCATGCTTAGCATATTGCTGCAATTGGTCTAGATGTAACCGTAAGTTCTATGCTAAGTGTTTCTTTTCTCGCATTTCTCGCTTGTGGAACCCCCTTCCGGCTCCATGCTTTCCAGTCAACTTCAATCTTCAAATATTTGAATGCAATGTCAATTGCTATCTACAGTCATCCTGGTTACACACTATTTCTTCTCACTCACTAATAAAGTTTATGTTTTCTAATTCTTCCACGTTCAGTAATTCCTTGTGTCTTAGTGGCTTTATTGCCTTGCTTAGAGTGAACCCGATTAAAAAAAATCCTGGGAGTTTACCAAGGATGAAGACTGGCCGCTTATATTCATGACAGATAGACAAGTATTTCATCCATATGGCAAATATGAGATATTGTTTGCAAAAAAGTTTTACATGATTGAATTCTGTTATTTTATATATATATATATATATATATATATATATATATATATATATAACAGTAAGTATTATACCAGTGTCTAATAATGTTTCAAGGATTCATTTAATACTAAAATAGTGAACTCCACGATGTTGAAGAAGTAATTCAAGTTTATTTTCATTTTACACCTTGGAATAAAGGAAAATCTTTTTTTTTTCCTTTCCAAGGTCGATATGGAGATAATCAAAACAAAAGGGGACCTTTGCGATCACGTTCAATTTGCCATCATTGAACGTCAAGACCAGAAAGAAAATGTCAAGGTTGAATTGGATGCTAATGAAAACACTCTATCGAATGAACCGAAAATAAGTCCGGCCACTTTTTGTAGGTAAGTAATTATCTTTTTTTAATAGTGAGCATGAAATAGTTTGATGGTGTGTAGGTATCTAGATATAGAGAAAGAATAGGAATTCAAAGGTAATAAAAAAAGGAATCTGTAGAGAGCCATGACCAACTACCTCCTGAAGGGGTATGGCATCGTAAAATAAATTAGTCCATTAAAGTTGATTTCTATGGAAGTTAACAAGTTGAATGTTTGTGTCTATTGAAAGTGTTGAAACTTGACTAATGCATGGAATAATAATGCAACACAAAATGTACTTAGAATAAAATGTATTGAAACAAGAAAGTGTACCCAATATTTACATATAGTCTTTTGTATATTCCTGGTAAGACCGCTCCTGGAGAATGTGTTGACTGAGTCGCAGTCGGGCAGAGTCTCTGGTTGAATCTCTTGATTCCTCCCTCGCTTCCCGGTACCAACCATATTTATATGGTCGGTACTCCACTATGCAAATTAGGTGGATCCTACCACAACAGTAAGTAAAAGCCCAAACATTATGTAAACAAATGTCATACCAAAACTTGAGTTTTAGACATGGAGGGTTTATATTCTTTTTGTAGTGACTGTAATGGAGAAAAAAATCTGAATGTCTCTTCTGTATGACCGTTTTCTTTTTTGGACCAGTAGTTTGGACAGGTAAGTACAAGTATCATATTCATGGCCGAGCTCAAGTCAGCCGTGATCAAATCTGGAACTACCAAAAGAAAGTCTGTACTTACTTTATCGTTGGAATATTTAAATGCGTTTATGAGATATTCATTTTTTGTCATGAACTGAGGGTAAATAATTACAGGGCGAAGACGTTTTTTTAATATAATCCCAATTTCGAAATCATCCATTGTCTCTGCCTCGCCCTGTACAACTATCGTAACTGGTCCCGCTGAAGTCAGCCTGGCGCAGTGTTGGAACAACCAAAAAGAAAGCTTCACCTATTTCATAGGCTGGATTCTATAGTTTCGGGTGGTAACCAGTGTAGGAGAAAGACTGCTCGGAATTCAAAACCTGGAGAGGGTTGTTTGGGACCTAGTGGCATGTTATACACCAGTTCTCAGTATTCAGCTCTTCAAAAAGCTTGAATCTGCAAAAGCCGTCACCAGTATTATCAAATGATCTGTGCTGGTAGTCTGGCTGTCGGTTTCTAGGAACTGAACTGAGTTACGTGACACTCACACGTGGAAATCGATGGGAGAAATATATATATATATATATATATATATATATATATATATATATATATATATATATATATATATATATATATATATATATATGTATGTATGTATGTATGTATATATACAAACATGAGCATACACACACTAGACTCTCCTGTCGATTTCGATGTATATATATATATATATATATATATATATATATATTCGAACAAATTTATATAATTTATCATCTGAAAAGAAAAAAAAATTATTAGATCTCATGAGAAATTATTAGATACCATGAGAAATTGTATAAAAATCTAAACCAAATGACGTTGTCAGTCGTATTCAATGAAATGTGCATGAAAGAAGGAGTTGTTTTGACCCTCATACGTTGAAATGGGAGAGTACAGTATATATATATATATATATATATATATATATATATATATATATATACGCACACACAAACACATTAGACTCTGTTGGCGATTTCGATGTATATACGTATGCGGACAGATTTATATAATTTATCATCTGAAAAGAAAATATATTAGATACCTTGAGAAATTGTATAAAAAATCTAAATCAAAGCAGGTTGCCTGTCGTATTCAATGAAATGTGTATAAAAGAAGAAATTCCTGCCTAAATACATAAATATATATATATATATATATATATATATATATATATATATATATATATATATATATATATATATATATATATATATATAATACAGTAAGTGTATAATAATAATGTTTCAAAAGGATTCATTTAATACTAAAATTCATTAAATCATTTTAATATATTTATTTTTATAATTTTTATTATAATACATTTATTATAATAATTATTTTTTAATAAATAATAATAATAATAATAATAATAATAATAATAATAATAATAATAATAATAATAATAATAATAATATATGTTTTGCAACTAAATGGAAGTGCTTGAATGATGTAGGCAAAAATCTGAACAATTTAGCAACTGATATGTTGTTATTGATGTGTTTGTATCATCAACACAATACGTTTTATGCACACGTTTTGTTTTTCCTTACTCTATACCTACCTTGGCATTTCCCTTTAATCAATGAATTATTTCCTTTCATCATACTGGTTAAGTTACAGAGATGATATTTTCATATAGACTAAATTATTGACAAAATAAAAGTTTTGAGGAAGAATTCGTCACATAAGAGCAATTTTATCATTCCAAAACGACCACATTTGCAAAAAAATATTCGTACATTAAAAAAATAAATTCAATTAATAGCTGAGAGCTTATGTGTTGTTTTCAGCAGATTCACTTGTATTTAGCGTCAAATGTTTTGAATACCGGAAGAGGAAATAAGATTTTGTAGATCCATTCACGAAAGGGCAAACGTGTCTCGTTTTGTTTCCAGATCATTTCCTTTCCATGTGTTGTTTGATCGAGAGCTTGTCATCTGCCAAGCGGGGACGTCCATTAACCGAGTCATTCCTGAAATTATGGAGAAAAAAGTCAAAATAAGCGACGTCTTCGAAATGATTCGCCCCCACATGGAACTGGACTTTCACAACATCTTGGCCCATATCAACACCGTTTATGTTCTGCGGTCACGTAAGATTCTCAACAATGGAGCTTTTGTGACTGAAAATGATAACTGCTCTATGTATCAACATGATACCTCCAGACTACGGCTTAAAGGTACGTAAACTCTACTCACTTTCACACCGCCGTCATGTACCTTACCTATGCCTTTTCTAAAAATAGGCTTACAGCCGCATCACATTGAAACACCAGTCTCCTTGCAATCACAAAAGTTAAGCAATGTTGAACCTGGTCAGCACTAGATGAGTTACCGTTTGGGAATACCATGCGCTATAAGCTTGGATATGCGGTTGGTGTAATAGATAATGGCTCGGGATTATTAATTGGTGAGCTGAGTTCTAGTTGCAGATGGGTTCATTATATACCCTCAAGTGTATATACCCTTGGGAAAGATATGAATAAATCTCTTCTAATCCCCACCCCCCAGCCATTAGTAAGACTTGTATCACATAAAACCATTATTATCTAAAAAAGACATTATTATTATCTAAAATATTTTCTGGCTTTAAATAACCTACAATGGGTTGATAAGCCGTAGAAAATGAATCAATCTATCAAACTTGTGCTGTTCCTTTTGCTGACGATTATACGTTCTTTCTTTTTATATATCGGGTTAACTCGGACACTCATGAGTCAATCACGCCAACCAACACAGTCCTGCATTTATGTCGAGAGGTCGTTAGGGCAGCATGATAAGCCTGTCTTGCGCCATGCTACATAGCCAAAGCAGGAGATAACACGCAAGTTCTGGCTTTGTTCGCCATCAGTGTCCTACAAAGCTCATTCTGCATTTAGACAGGCTTGTAGTAATATCAAGAATGAGTCCATAGAGCTGTGATTTAGTTGGATGTTTTCTCCTAGAGATATTAAGTATATCTCTCAGCACCCGAATGTAG